GCCTGCCCCGGAGGTGACCACATGGCGTGGCAGACCTCTCCTGACCCGCCCGCTGCTCCCCTCAGCAGTGTATTTCGTTGATCTGCCTGTTCTGCACTCCACTCTGTCTCTGGTGAATTCTCTCATCCTCCACATCTCTGGCCTGTATCTCAGTTCTGTATGCACAAATAAAATAAAATCTTTAAAAAAAAAAAATGTTACTTTGTCCTGTTTATAAAGTAATTGCTATTGCAAAACAATTTAAATGTGCAGACATTTAAATTATGTATATCTTACATATATCTTGGTAATAGTGTGTTTATTTTTCCAGATATTTTGCAACTTTTTCTACCGATGAATGTGTCTTGGATAGATGTATCCCAAATTACTTTTTTATTTTTTTGAAGATTTGTTTATTTATGCATACAGAATTGGGTTATAGGTCAGAGGTCTAGGGGAGGTGAGAGGATCCACCAGAAACAGAGTGGGGAGCACTCTGTTTGATGAAGTGCACTGCTGAGGGGAGCAGCAGGTCAGGAGGTCTGCCACGCCATGTAGATCACCCCCCAGGCTGGGAATTGAACTCCTGCTGAAGTGGTTTTAGTTCATAATGCTGTACTTTAACTCGCTGTGCTACCAGGGAGGGCCCCGAAACAACCTTTTAACAGTTTAGTACAAGAAACAGAAGAGGCAAATCTACCTCCCAGGAAAAATTGTGTCCTTTCCATTGCCGCTTCTAGGCTAAATGACACCCTGGCATCTAGAACAATAATACCTCCAATTCCATGAAAATAGACAGTGTATTCCATTATCCATGATTCCTACCTAGCACAATAATTGGCTCTTCATATAAATGTTTGCTCATCTAAACTAAGAGTCATGATAATCCTAACATGATGGGAACTGACCATAACAGAATTTATTCTACCACATGCTATTCCTTTAAAAAACTGGGAGACATTTCAGTTTCTCGCCAAAGTACCACTTCGCCTTCCCAACTAAAGTGCATTGTACTAAGCCAAAGTTCCTAGCAACAAGTATGAAGCCACAATAGTAACTCTTCTCACCATAACCAAAAAAAGACTGAAACAGCTCAGTGATGTCACCAGGTTAGACCACACCAAGGCTGCTCCAGGATATCAGGCATTCTTTGGGATTTGGGGATAACCCTCCAGTGCTCTTCTGATATATTTTATGAATGAACCAAAAGTCACAGTAACAATTTTTAAATACAGAAGACAAAATGTGAGTGATCATTTGTAGCTGATTAAAAATATACTTAACACATTAAAGCACCAATTCAGAACACATTTCCTTGGGTTCTGGTGCAGTTTACAAGGCAGCCTCAATCACAAGTCCCTAAGCCGGGACTGTGTGCCCTGGACAAATGACCCCAATCCAATTATGTGCTCACACACAGTAGGCACTCCATGACTAAATGACAGTACTCAGCCTCAAAAGCTTTTAAAAGTTTCTCCTATAAAAGAAGAAAACTGAAATTCCTTGTTCTTGCATTCGAGTAAGGCTTTTATAAGTAGATACTCCTCCCCTAATTACTCTCTTAATCTACCATGTTTAATTGGTACCATATCACTTTCACCCCATCTACCTCCTCACCCCACATTCTTTACTCCTATCAAATTCCAACCATTAATCCCAACCCAGATCAAATCTCTCCTTTGGCAAGAAAACTTCCTAGACAACTCCAGACCGCATATCCTCTCCTTCTGAAGACTCTAGTGCCAAGCAAGAGCAGCTCTGTCCAACAGAACTTTCTATAAGAAATGTTCTAGGGGCTTCCCTGGTGGTACAGGGGTTAAAGTCAGCACCATGAAGCTGTTAGCAGCCAAGAGTTCTATCTATCCCCATATACAGAGCTGATCCACATGGTGCAGCAGACCTCTCCTATCTCTCCCGCTGTTCCCCTGAGCAGTGTATTTCAGTCGATCTGCTTGTTCTTCTCCCCATTCTGTCTCTGGTGAATTCTCTCACCCTCCCCACACTGCTGGCCTACACCCCAGTTCTTGTGTGCATAAATAAAAAATAAATCTTAAAAAAAAAGTTCTATATCCAGGCTACATTTTTTGTATCTATAGCTTACCTTGTTGGATAGCACTGGCATGATTCTCTTGAGGACATTATGTATGGATAAAGCATTTATTAAGTATCCTCAGGAGATGGAAAGTCCTATGAACAACGTATCTTATTCTTCAGAACTACTTCCACAAAGCTGCAAAGTGTTTGTTAATTTGTACACCACCAGCGTTGGACTCACATCTGAGTTAATGGTCTCTATTTCGGCCCCATTCTGACTGTTGAAAACACACAGGCAGGGAAGAAAAGCAACTTTCTGGAGACACTAGTGAGTCCTAATAAGCAACAAGGCACTTTGGTTTAAATGCACTGGTCACAAATGTCCTTCACCTATAAGTTTGCTTAAATAAACAGTTCTTTCCATTGGCAGATAGCTAAATTCTGAAGGCAAACCCTGCCAACTAGAATGTTGATGACTTCCTAAGTTGGACACAGCTGCTGATAGAAAGGCAACCTAAGCTACCTACACTTCTTTGTTTCCACCAGTTTTTTTAAATAGCATCTGTGGAGTCTTAGTTTTATTTCACTGTCCAGGTAAATGACAGAATTTCACAGACATCTTTCCCAGAAGGGCAAATTCATTGTAAGTCAAGACCTAATACTTAAGCCAGACAGTCAAAAGAATACAATAAACAAAAGGTGTAAGTTCTACCACTGTGGTCCTCGGCTGCCTTCTATAACTACCTGTTTCCTTTGGCCTCAATTTCCCTCATCTACAAAATGGAACTAATATTATATATATAAACTATCGACCCTTTAAGGTCAAGTCATAGCTGTGGAGACTTAAATGTTTTTTTTTTTCCTCATGTAAAATTAAGGCTCGTCACTTTGCTGGTGGTTCTTTGTGGTGAATGTGCTAACAAATAGAGAACTCAGATCAGTCCTCCACATCCACATTTCCACCCCCAATTTTTTTTTTTTTTGTATACTGCAAACTCTTTCCCCCATCCACCATGCAAATGTCTGAGAAAAAATGCTGCTGGTACACCAGTTTGGCACATATAATAAAGAAATAAATGTGTTGATTCAGGGAACACCAACATATTTAATAGAAAATTGGCTGAGTCCTGGTATAACACACTCTAGAATTTACATTAAAAATTGAGATAATTTACTTTCTGATTTTAAACTTACAAACATACATGGAATAGTCTGTAAATGCACATTTAAAAGCCAGCCGCTACACACTATATACTTTTTTTTATTTTACACACTATATACATTTTTAATAAGGAAAAAAGATCTGTCAACACCATACACCCACTAGATATAACAGAGTGTGATATGTACTAACCATGGAAAAAACAAGTTGGCTGAGGGTCTGAATTTTGTTCATTTAGGCACAACCACACAAACCCAAACACAGGTAAAGTTTGCACACATATCTTTGCCAACCCAGCCAGTCTTTGTTTCCTTCTCCTCTGCATTTACCCAAGACCTTGGCTCTGAGACAGAAAACTCCCACTCTCGATTGGTTCGTTCTGCCCTATGCAATTAAGCAACACCACAATCCAGTAAACGCAAGAGCTTAATAATTTATCTTCGGCCGAGTTTACCAGGTGTTTGTAAAAGAACAATGTCAAGATGGCAAAAAGGTTTATTTCATTCTAGAACTGGCTTGATAGGTCATATTTTGGTTTTGTGTTTGTTTTTTTAAGAGGAGGAGGGAAGCAAGGCTTAACCTCGAAAAAGATGGGTGGGAATTTAGAAAGAGTACAGGACTGTCAATTTCCCTACAGGAAACTTGACTCTTATGCAATAATCTTACCCACAACCAGCCGCTGTACACAGTAAGGAGAAGACACCTATTTCTACCTCTAAAGGGCACGGCTGGCTCCTACAGAAGCCGGAATAGGGCAAGGCTAAGGAAGTGGCTCAGCCGGGAGCAGCCCGGCCCGCAGGGAGGAGGCTCCTTTCAACCCCCACTGCCCGAGATCTCCCCTGGCATGACAATCGCTCCCGCGGCCGGAATGTCCCCAGAGCCCCAGGGAGCAGGAAGTCGGGGGACGTCCCTCACTCCTGCTACCCCCACCCAAAAGTAACCTTCGCCCCACGATCCTCCCCCGCGAGCCCGTTCTCTTCCTCGGCGTCTCCCCTTTTTCCGAAGAACGAAACTTCCTTCCAGTGCCCGCTGTCCCTTCAGAGGCCCGCTCCTGTCATCCCCGGGAGCTGTTCCTTCAGAGCGACCCTCGCGTCCCTGGTATCGCCCCGCCCCGCTCAAGTTTCCACCCATAACTCCCCCAACACCTCAGAGACCCCCAGCCACTCCAGCACCCCCCGCGGTGCCGAGGCTCGGGGGTCGTCGGGGAGCGACCCCACCCTTCACTCCAGTCACCTGTTTCTCCAGCTGAGGCCCGACAGGCCGGGGCAGCACTTACGCCGGGATGCGGGCCGCCGGGCTCCCTCAGGTCGCGGCCTCTCCTAGCCGACGCGAAGAGAGCGCCAAGCCGGGGTGCTCGTCGCGGATCCGGTTCGGGCTCGCTGCCTTTGCCGCGACGTCGGAACCCCAGGCTCCCCCTCCCGGTCTACGCCACCACAGCTCCGGAAACCGCTGAATTACAGCCCCTCCAGCCAATCGCCGCCCAGCCCCTGCCTGGCCGGGACGCCCCGCTCCTGCATAATTAATCAGACGGCCAGTTTTCTGGGCCACCCAGAGGTCCTGGTACAAGTACGGTGCTCCGGAAGCCCCACCCACTAGCCAATGAGGAGAGCCTCTGAGAGTGAGGGCGGGGCCATTCGATGACTGGGAACGCCCCCCTACGCTGGCTGTTCTAAGGGCTCACTGCTCCTCCCTCCGCAATGGCGGGGGAAGAGCTAAGGCCCTGGGCACGGAAGCCAGGGGGAGGGAGGGAAGATGACCGGAATGTCCTGCTGAAAACTCAGCTGAGTTCCTGGCAGTGCGTGACGTCAAGACACTTTAAATGCCCCTGATGCGGCGGCTCTCTACTGCCTGCGCTCCCTCTTCCTGGCCCTTGGTAGGTACCACGTGGGAGCGAGGTTGGGAGCTACTTACCACGTGGGAATCAACCAGTAAGACAGTCCCCAGGTATCGCCAGATCCTCTGGGGGCCCGACCCCTGGTTGGGGTTTCTGGCGACTGCATAAAGAATATGGGTGGCTCCTCTGTGCTTTGAACTTAAGTTGCTGTGTGAGTTAAGACTCACACAGCCGGAAACATGACGTGGAAATAGAGTAATTACTAGAGTGCGTGGGGAAAGGCTAGTGGATTTAGCCCTGTCCTGCGTTCTGTCGCTTCAAGCATCAAGGCCAACGAATCCTTTGGTCTGTCACCGGTGAGAAGAAGCAGTACTTGTGGAGACTGACACGTATACACGTTATCGGGCCTCTGAGTTGAAATTCTTGCCTCTCTTTTTCTTTTTCACCTAGTCTACTGCAAACGCCAAGTTTTACTGCATTGAAACCCTAGTTTATGGGAAATGTGGGCATTTTACCTGACATAATAAACATACTGTGAAATAAACATAATGATCAATACACACTTGCTACAGATAACTACGGCTATTTCCACACCGGGCTGATCTATGAACGGGCAGGGCACTGTGACTCCCAACCCCACCACCAGTTGCTCTCAGATTCGCTTTCCTCTCACTTGGCTATGGTTGTACTTTGCATAATTGAGTAATTTGTAGGTGTGTGCGTGCTGATACTATCAGGATTTTTAAAATTACGTCTATTAGTGTTTGTTGTTTGCTTAATGCAAAGAATTGTAAAGATGAAATCTAAACAGGGTTAGTTTACCACCTAGATAACCCCTGATGATCTTTTTTTTTTTAAATAAGACTAATCACATGCTCATGGTTGGAATGTCCAATTTTCAGAGAAGTCAGAAATTAAAATTAAAATCTCCTTTTCCCCATCAGTCCTTCTCCCAAAGGATAGCTATTCTTATTAATTTCTGGTGAGAAAAATCAATGACACTTAACCTTTGGGGCAGTCACAAATCCTTCTAAGAGTCTGCTAGAGAATATAGCTTTTAGTCCCAGAAATATCCAGCATGAACATATACTCACAAATTTTCTTGCTTCCTCAGATACCTAAAACCTGGCCAACAATTCTGGATTTGGAACTTTGGGCCACTCATAGCCAAGTGAGAGGAAAGCGAATCCGAGAGCAACTGGTGGTGGGGTTGGGAGTTACAGTGCCCTGACCGTTCACAGATCAGCCCGGTGTGGAAATAGCCGTAGTTATCTGTAGCAAGTGTGTATTGATCATTATGTTTATTTCACCCCACAACAGGTCTCCCCGTGCCACCTAACCTGACTGCATTAGCTAGGCTACCCCAGGCAGTTCCCCTGACTCCCAGCCCGGTAATTTTTTTTACTCATTTACTGCTTACAAAGCACTTACACACCTGTTACCCTTTTTCTTTCTCGTAACAACTATGTGTAACAGATAGGAAAGGCCATAGGATTAATTGATAGAAAAGTAAGACCAAAGTACTACGACAGTTTCAGGATCATAGAGCTACTCAGATGTAGGCCAGGTGGTTCAGAACAAAGCTTTTGGAGTATATATCCCTGGCCTTGTTCCATCCACTCAAAGCGGGCCTCCTCCCCCATCCCTGAGCAGCAGATCCTGATTCCTGCCCATTCACTTGTGAAATCTACTCCTGAGTTTATCTCTTCCACCTACAAGAGTTTATCTCTGAGTTTATCTCTTCCAGCCTTGCCCCTGGCCTTTCTCCATAAGGTTGGCTTAGGGATGGCAATTTCTTGGGTCCTCTCACTTGAGCCAGTGCTTTGACCTGTACTCCCCTTGCAGCGTCACCCCCTTCATCCCACACACCTTAGCTTCTGTGTTGAATTTATCACTCCTGCAGGCATGTGAAGCTCTCTGCCTCTTCAGGCCTGGGCTGATCTTCCCTCCACCTGGAATACTTGCTCTTCCCTCATTCACACTTGAAAACACTTGTTCTTCACAGTCCAGTTTCAACACCTCCTCCTCTGCCCTTTCCTAGATTCACCTGGCAAAGTTCACCATCTCTTCTCCTGGCGGGCTTCTGGGGCAGGTTGTCTTCCCAGCTGGTGTTACAGGGCAACTCCATATGAAATGGGGTGATTATGGGTCCTTACCCATGTGCTTAAAGTGACTTTTTAAAAAATATTTTGGGGATTACAACTAAGATGGAAAAATGTCCAAAATGATGAAAAAATAAACTATTACATTATTTTTTTAAAAAAATTTTTATTTATGCAATACAGAAAAACTGGGTACAGGCTAGAGATAGAGGGGCAGTGAGAGGATTCACCAGTGACAGAGTGGGGAGCAGAATAGGCAGACCCACTGAAACACTGCTGAGGGGAGCAGTGGGTGAGACAGGTGAGGTCGGCTGCACCATGTTGGTCACCTCCCCACCCCCCTGGGATTTGGGGGGACAGGATTGAGCTGGTGCTGAAGCAGCTGAGCCTAGCCTCACATTGCCTCACTTTAACCCTTTGTGCCACCGGGGAGGGCCCTAAAGTGACTTCTAATGATACTTAACCACAAGCACACACAAAAAGATTAATAAAAGGTTTATTTACAAAAGGAGGGAAAATGAAGAAATGAATATTTCAGGGAGAAAGAAAGGGAGATAAATTAGTAAATGCATCCTATCAATTCCGCTAACCTGGAATGCCAAAGGTACACTGAGAGCCAGCAAAAAGCCAGGAGTCAAGCCACAAGCCAAGAGGCCAAGAGACCCAAAAGCCAAGACAGCAAGAGCCAAAATCCAAGAGCACCCCCAAAGCCCACATGTCTGGCTTATTCCAAACCTGGCTGCCTAACTCCACCCTCAGATCCCAACATCCTCCCTTGGGTGATGATGGGATTTGTAGTTACCTGTGTCTTGATGGCGTTGGTCTGGAGTAAGGTGGAGACCACAAAACCTGTGTGGAGTTCATGCAAGGTATCCTTTCCTCCTAACACTAGTACAGTCAGGCACCCCTTGAGAATGTTCCAGTCATATATGATGGTGACTCCAGCAGGCTGTGTATACCAGGTATGCCAAGGTGTGCAGTAGACAGCTGGGCCTGTATGTGGTACACTGTGACATTCACAGAAGGAAATCACCTCATGAGGTACTTCTCAGAAACTATCTCCATCATTGAGTGACACATGACGGTGTAGCATGTTCCACCTGGAATGTAATAAAGCCATTTATCAGCCTACTTCCTGAGAGATAAAACAATTAACATTTATTAAGTACTCACCATGTTCCAGGAACTGTGCTAAACTTTTTATATAGATTTATATGACCGGAACCCAGTAAGGGAGGTACAATTATAATGGTCATTTTCAACTGAGGAGAATAACACTCGAAAAGTGAAAGACTGGCGTAGAGACCCACAGTGAAGGCACTCAGAATGAGCCACGTCTGCCTCACGTCGAAGCCTGGACCCTCTGCCCACAAGCTTGAAAACCATCTCCCCTAAGTTTTCAGTTCCTGGAAGCTTGAACTCCTTTGTGCTCATTTTCATAATCCCAGCATCTAGCATCTACCCAGAACTCACCTACGACTGAGCTTATTAAATACTAATAAATGTGTTAAATAATCATATCAGCAATTGCTAACCCTTGTGGTTTACTCTGCACTGGTCGCTGTTCTGTGTACATGTCTGTGTAACTCATCTTGAAACTCATGTAATCCTTACAGTAACCCCGTAAAGAGGGTACTGTGATTGTGCAGAATGAGAAAGTGAGGCATAGCCAATGTTAAGTGACCCACCCAAAGCTGGTAAATGGCAGCTAGTGTTTAAATCCAAGTGGGAATAATTGATGAACCTGAATAGTGTGGCCTTTACTGTATCTCCAGGCCTAAACTTCCTTTTAGATCCCCAAGGAAAGTTCCAAGGTAAAGCTCCATTTTCCACCCAGCAAGTGGAAAACAGCATGTGGAAGTCTGGCAAGTTTATGGTGATTTATAAACATGTCCACAAATACTGTGATACTTACTTCATCAAAAGGTAGAGTAGGGGCCCTCCCTGGTGGTGCAGCAGGTTGAAGCACAGCACTAAGAAGCTAAAGCCACTTCAGCATGAGTCCAGTCCCCACCCCGGAGGTGACCCACATGGCGTGCCAGACCTCTCCTGACCCGCCGCTGCTCCCCTCAGTAGTGTGTTTCAGTAGATATGTCTGTTCTGCTCCCCACTCTGGTCTCCAGTGAATCCTTTCATCCTCCCACCTCTGGCCTACAGCCCAGTTCTTGTATGCATAAACAAATATAAATCTTTTTTTAAAAAGGACTGAATTAATTGGTTTTGCCCCTCCTCTCTAAGTTATGATTTCTTTTCTCTTTCCTGACTCCCTGATTCCCTTCCTTCTGTCCCTGAATGTTCATTCTCACCTCTTTCCTATTTTAACCTGTATGTTTCCTTATTACCCCTTTCCCATCATGCCCCACATCCTCATCCCTAATTGCCCCACCAGGGTAGTGTCTGCCCTCTTCTTTCTACAGAACAGTGCTATTTAGAGTCACCAGCAACTTCCTCTTCATGAAAGCTAATGTGTTCTCAGCCGTCTTACCTAACGTCACTCTCCGCTCTCTGCTGTCTCCCTTCTAGATTATTTTTAAAGATGTATTTTATTTATTTGTGCATACAAGAGTTGGGGTGCAGACAGAGGT